GGGAAAGACGTCATTCCCCTTCCAGAGGAGAAGAGGAGGAAAATTTTACAGGTTGAGATACCAGTCTCTTCTAAACAACAGTATTGCTTTCTCTGAAGCAGACTTATATAGGTGTGGTTATAGCATTCCCATACACAGCAGTCCTGCCTTGGCTGCCAGCCACCTAGTCCTTTTTCTTCTGCATGAAGGGGCCATAGGGAATAGGCGGAGAACCCGATAGTAGGGAAAAGAGAGAATGGAATGGAATGTGGATACTATGCATTTGTGGCAGAGTGGAGAGGAGAACAGTGCTGAATGCAGAACTGAGTAGTTTAAATCTTGCACCACTCCTTTGGAGTCACTTTGCTCAGGATTGCTCTTGTGCCCAGTGCCAGAGAGATGTTGCTCTTTGCAATCCCAAGCATCAACATTAAGAATGTGCTAACATTGTTTTCCTCCCAGGCTGCTTGGGGGCCCTGCATACAGGTGATGGGTACTTCTGTCTTCACTCCCCCACCGTTGCTTCAGAACCTGCCAGAGTAAACTCATTTTGTGGACATTCTCTTCTGCTGCTGCCAACCAATGCTGTGATGAGCAGGGTTAAAAGCAGCTAGAGGCAGAAGGCAAAAAGCATGAGATTTTACATTGACATGAACTTGTCCAAACTGACACTGCTAGCCTCCCTTGTTTGTACACAGCAGAAGGGCCAAGAGAGGTTCCTCAGTGCACCACAAGCTTGACTGACTCCTGCCTGCGACACCCCAGGGCTAGCACCGCAAGTAGTAGGCATCTGTCTGTCTCGTGAAACACTAGAATTATGCCGAGTGAGACATTATCTTGCTGAACATAATCCTTGCTTGAAAAAGAAAGTGAAGCTGGAGTGACATCTCCAGGGTGCAAAAGCCTAGGCCACTGTATATGGAGACAGTGTATATGCCCACACACCAATGTTCCCCTCTCGATCTTGCTGGTTTAATCCAAAGGAAAGGCAGGTGCCAGAAGGTTTGCAACTAGCTTGGCTGCAGGAGCTGGCAGACCAAAGGAGATAATTCATTTGCTCATTTATCAGGGCTTCACTCCTAGACTGGTTGCCAGCCAGGGTTAAAAAGCCCAAACTACCCTATCATAGAGTGGACTTCAGTTCCGCTTTTTGGTGGCCGTGCCTCACTTACAGGCATGCTACATTCACTGCTTGTAATCTGGTGTCTGGCTTAATGCTAGTGTTAGATCCTTTACATGCAACTGTTCAGAACTCATACAGTTGTACCCCAGGTGCAACCCAATCTCTGCAGGTGAAGTTATCAAACAATTATTGCAATTTCCCAGGATACAATTACTAACAATTTTGTTCCTTCTGTCATCCTGAGAATGCCCAGAACTACATATTTTTGAGGATGCTTCCCTATGTTCAAGATAGAATATCATATTGTTCTGATTAGGGGTTGACCCTACTTATAAGTCAGTTGTGATTTTCATGATTTTCTTCTTACTACCTATGTATTTTTCAGATACATAGGGAGTAAGAAGAAGGCACCGGGTAACATGGGGCCCCTACAGGACAGGCTTGGCAATCTGGTGATTGCAGCTAACGAAAAAGGTGACCTCTTTAACAAATTCTTTGTCTCCATATTCCTGAATAGGGACTGGAACATTTCCCCCACTAGGATTACGGACAGACCCAAGGGTGGCACCGCCATGCCTAGGGTCACTTAGGGAATTGTTGGAGGGGATGGATGTATTTAAATCAGTAGGTCCAGATGCTCTTCACCCGAGGGTGCTG